GAAGCACCGACGGCTGGGACGTGGCCCTAGGGTTGTGATACCCTAGGCTTTCCTCTGGAAGCTTCTGGACCGTTGGATCTTACCAAATCCAACAGTTGAGGTGGAGACGGCTGCTGGCGATGATACAAACCCTAGATGGGTTTAGGGTTACTGTTGGGCCATCTGGGTTTGGGTTTGGTCTCTTGTAACTGGGCTCGTCTGGGTTGGGCCGGACTTGGCCTGTTTGTAATAATAATAATTATTTATTTAATAATAATAATATAATATAATATAATAATAATATTAAAACAAAATAATAATAATAAATAAAACAAATGAAATAAAAAACTAGTGTCTTCACCTTTATTCAATAAAATCGGTAAATAAATATATTATTACAATCATCATATGATTGGTCATTGGGCATACTCTAACAATATCCAAATATTTTAATCATACAAGATGATCGTCCTACTGCTAGAGTAACTCGGGTGTTTTTGTTGTTTCCTGAGTGTCATACAATGGCTAGTTTTATGAAATTCTTATTTCATAACAATCTTTACTATTGTTGTATTCATTATTTGTTCTGACTTGAAAGCTAATTAAAAAGTGATAGTGTTGCTAGACCCATTCCCAAACCCTATGATCAATTTGGGTTTTTTCCCAATTTAGGACGAAGGTACCGATATGAACCCTTATAGTGCAAATATCAACCCTTCAGTATCGATACAACCACTTGGTACCAAAATTGGTTACTGGAATCCAAGGAAAATTAACAGTATAGATACCCCTATTTCGAGTATCAGTACTTTTATACTAGGGTATCGATACAATCTTAAGTATCGATATCAAAATCAGGTTTGATGTTTGAGAAAATCAATTTCAGTATCGATACCCTTACTTAGGGTATTGATTCCCCTGCTTCGTATGGTATCCATACTTCTTAAGTACTGATACCAAATTTGGTTACTGAAATCTAAAATCTAAATATAGTATCTATACCCCATATATGGGTATCGATACACAAAGAACAATATCAGCACCCTATGAACAGTATCAAGGCTCAACAAGCACTTGCTTCTCATTTCCCTTGCTTTTGGAGCTTTTTCCAACTTCTTTCACTAAACAATGATAAAAAAAACATGAGTTACTTACTTGTTTGGGAACTAGGAAGATGTTAAGAAGATTCTTTAAACCTCAAAACCTTAAAAAATGAGCTAGTTTCTCAAGGGTTTCCAAAACCTTCACCCATGGCCACCACGGTAAAAACTTGCTATTAAGGGCTTAAAAGGAAGTTCTAAGGATGTTTATTTCATTTCATACCATTGCAACTCTGAATTATAGATGCAAGCCAATAAATTTTCCACCTTTGCTCAAGCTACCAAGGAAAAGAGATAGGTTTGTAGAAATAAGAAAATAACAAAGGAGTGAGGAGAAAAATATGGGTTCAGTCGTGTCCTCGCCAAAATGAAAAGGGATTGATTTTTAAACTTTAAAAGGTTTAATTACTCCTTTAGTCCTTCAAGTTTTGGTCTTAACTCAAAAATGTCCTTTTATCACAAGTTTGTCTCAACCCAAGCCCAAACCAACTCAAATTTGGGTCAATACTTCCTATAAGGCTAATGGTTTTATCCAAAATCCTCTTGGATTAGCCTAAAACGACTAACATGAGATTTAGATCTTTACAGTTGAACCAGAAATGATAGAAATAGAGGATATCATTGAGGAAGGAAAAAGATTGACGTCAGAAAGTATCAATGGATGAAACAATCTATGTGCCATTGTCAAGTAGAAAAAAGACAACCAAAAGAAATGACAACCTCCAGAAGACCAGTGGTACAAAGTTAACACAGATGTTACATACAATTCTCTCACAGGTGAGTCCACATGTGGAGGATTTATAAGAAACCATAAGGGCAACTGATTAATAGGTTTCACTAAGAAGCAGGGATTCAAATAGCGGCAGAATAGTGGTATTGCGGGAGTTATATCGCGGTCGCGGCGTGTTTGAAACTATTATCGCGGAAAATAACGGTGTGAAGCGGGATCACACCAATAGCGGCGGATCGCGGCCACAATTTAAAGGATCGCGGCCAATCGCGACAATAGCGGACCGTTATTCCGCTATTATTATGTTATTTTAAATTTTTTAAAAAACAAGTTTTTTAATTAAAAAAATCAGCTCCTTCGAAAAAATTCACTATTGCGATATCTGTAATGACCGCAATAACATCCGTAATATCTGCAACCGTAATAAATGCGATGCAACCGAAAACGTGACCGCAAACGCTATTTAAATTACTGCTAAGAAGATAGGTTTATGCAATACACTTTGGGGAACTTTTCTTGGGCTTCAGTATGCGTGGAAATGGGAATAAGACAGATCCAAGTGGAAACTGATAATAGGGAAGCATTAAAACTTATCTCTAAGAACCCGGGCAACGAACGGAACCTCACCATTTTACAACATATCGATGAGTTGATAGCTCGAGAGACACTCCCAGACGGTCTTCAGGAGTTCACAGAACCCTCAACTAAAATTGTATTAAAGATTAAAAAAAATGGAGATCCTGCATTAGGCTAACCGTCACCATCCCTTTGTAAAAAAAAAACATGTCTTTGAATATTTAAAAAGAAAATTATGAAAAACGCAAATTGTAATCTACACCTTTTCGTCTTATCTAATAAAAAACGGAGTTTCTTTAAATATTATGTCACACAAGATAAAGCCACATCCCGTTAAAAATAATTTTGATAAGATATTTCGAATTAAACACCTTTATCTTATGTAATTTGAAAAAAAAATACTATCTTTAAATATTTTTTTATAATATTGTTGCTATAATTGATTTATATATATTATTTTGAAAAATATTTAATATAAAATAAGTGCTTAAATTATACTTAAAATTTAACTTTTGATGCCTAAAATTTTTTTCGCTAACAATATGTGTCTAAAATTTTCTACGATACACTTTTAAGTGTCTACCGTTAAAAAATAGTTAAGTGACACGTGTTACGTTCAGATTTAAAAAAAATATTTTATTTTTAAAAAAACCTGGTTACTTAACGATTTTTTAACAATAAATGCCTAAAAATATAATAAAAAACAATTTAAATATCTATTTTTAACCATAAAAAATAAATACTAAAACGTTTTTTAGACGTTATAGGTACTTATTTTTATATTTGTCCTTTGTAAAATTATAAAATTATCTCCGCTACCTAAGCACATTTCCCGCCAATCACCTAATTCCCGAGCCGCCGGATTCAAGGATTTTTCTGGTTCGTGATGGAACTTTTTTTTTTGTGGTCATGTTTGCCATAATTTCCATTCATTGTACTGACAAAACATGAGTTCAGATTCCAATTCCCAACCCCAAACCAAATTGAATTCCTCACGTTCATAAACCAATATAAAATATTATATTAAATAGATAAATTTATAAAATTTTAAAATATATATATAAAATTTTAGTAAAGTGAAAATATATTTTTAATATAAAATATAAATAAAATATATAAAAAAATTAAAATTTTTAAGGTCAACCTCTCTATCTATTTAGTGATAAATTCAGAAATTTATTTAGGATGTGCACACATATATATTAATAATATAATTTTTTTAATAAAATAAATATAAATAAAATTTTAGAGTGAAAATCATTAATAAAATATATCATTAATAAAAAATTTAAATCTCAAAATAGGCATAATAAAATTTTAAGATAGATAATATCAATAATAGACGATTAATGGAAGAAAATCCGAGAGAGTGATGTTCCACTCTCAACAATGAAAGTGTCAGCCACTCGTCTGGTTTTAAATCCATTCCTGCTAGTGCTGTCATAAAGTTATTGATTTACCAAATTGAGTACCTCATGTTTCCCTACATTTTTGCCTACTTCAACGCCACAAATGATTGGTTTTCCGTTTGTCTTCGGATCATGGTTTTCATAATCGAACCGGTTATGAACCCGTAATGTTACTAGTTCATTGGTTCAACCGGTTGAATCGATCCGACCGATCGGAAGAATCGGACGATGTCATAATTATTTAAAAAATTAAATAAAAATACCAAAAATATTTAATAAAAAATAATTTTTTATATCACAAGTCATATTCAAAGCAAGTCATAACATATATAAGTTAAAAACCATAAAATCAAGTGAAACAAAATGATTCAAATTAACTACAACATAATATTTAAGGTAAAACATATTAAATAATAAATATAATTATATAACTATAATTAAAAAATAAATTTGGGGTTAAAAAAAATCATAACAAAATTATTTAACTATAATTATATAATTATTCTTTCACTTCAATCAAGCTTGAATTTTAGGCGAGTTTCTAATTTTTTTTTGAGTTCAAGCCTTTTTGAGTTGAGTTGAGCTTACTTTTAAAGTTTTCAAGTTCGAGTCGAGCTCATCAATACTCGAGTTCGACTTGGCTCGTTTAACAAACGACGTTGTTTGATTTAATTTTTTTTTTTAAAAACAAAAATCCCGGTTTTCCCGATTTTTTCCGGTTTTCAGCCGGTCCGGTTCGAACGATTCAACGGTTCTAGCCGATTCACTAATAACGATTCAACCGGTTTAAATTGAACCGGACTAAACAACGATTTCTAATTAAACCGATCGATCCGATCCGATTTTCAAAACAGAGCTTCAGACATAATGTCTTTTGGGTCACATAGTTCAATGAATTCACCGCCTCTTTGTCTCCATCACTATATTTTATTAGCCTTCGAAGCCCCCACATAATATATATAAAACTATAATAAATTATCGAGGAAATTAAAAAATGCAACACTTTTTAATTTTACGTAGGTTTTAAGATTATTTTATAAATAAAAATATACATGTGATATTAACAGTAAATAATAAAATAGCATTCACTAAAAAATTAATAAGTTATCTCAGTAATATATTTTCATTATAGATGGTCAAAATATCTTAATATGACGGATACCAACCCGATACGACCCTAAGGGCGTTTTTTAAATTTTTTGGGCTCGGAGCAGGTTAGGTTATATAGTAAAAGATTTCGAGGCGGGCCAGGGTTGGGTTTAAGGTAAAAAATACCGACCTGGCCCAATTATTATATATATATATGTATATATATATATACATGGACGGAGCCAGAACTAAATATTGACAGATGCCAAAATATTAGAATATTTAATAAAAATGTAAAGACATATTAGGTATTTAAACTCAATATTCAGCACGAATCAAGCGTCCTTAGTGATTAAGAGATTATTATTATTCTTGAGGTCTCGAGTTCGAGCATTGTGAATGTAGGAGTATAAGCGTTCATTGTCAAATAGTTGAGAGTCTTTGTACAAATATTATCTTGTATTCATCCTAGATTTATGAAATAAAAACCCTAAAATTCACAAGATAACACCTAATTTGTCTAATATTTAAACTTACAATGACCAAAATTGTTATTAGAACAAAAATTTTGAGAACACGAGATTAAATATTTAATAAATTCTTATATTTTTAATTTAAATATTTATTTTTACATAAACTAAAATACTATTAGACCAAAATTATAGTGAATATACAAATTTTAACAGGGGTCAGGGCCCCTTTGGGCTCTCACTAAGCTCTGCCACTATATATATATTAAGAATTTTTATTTTTATTTTTATATTATTAAAATATATTGTTTAATTATTAAAAATGTTATAAAATATTATAAAATATATCAATTTAACAGTTTAAATATAATAAATAATTATAAATATATTATTATAAAATATATTATTGCAATTATTTTAAAATATTAATATACTCGGGTCGAGTCAGGTTGGGTCTTAGTTTTAGTCTAAAAATCGGGGTAGATTCGGAGTGAGAAAAAACTCAAAATTCCTCTTGGTGGGGCGGAATCAGGTTTTACATATATGTTTTCGGGTCGGAGTCGGGACAGTAAAAAACCCACCCTGCCCCACCGCACACCCATCCCTAATTTTCATTCATCTAATAATTATAAATGCGTATAAAAATTAAAAACAAACAATATATAAGTGGATCTTTAAGTTCTTAACCTATGTAAGATACTGATTTAATTAATTTTAAAATCCTTTTTAATAATATTTGATAATAAAACATTAGTTTTAAATTATTTAATCATTTTTAGTGTGTCAAAACCTAGGGATGTTCACTATTCGGTTTTAATCGAATTAACCGACTGATTTGAATTAGTTCGGTTAATTTGGTCGGTCACCGAATTAGTTTGGTCGGGAAATGGTTACTATTTTTTCAATATTCGGTTAATGGTTAATTTGGTTCTAAATCGCTTAATTAACCGAAATTATTAAATATTATATATATATTGTAAACCTATTTTAAGCTTAAACCCATTGACCGAAATAACCAAATTTTGTTTGGTTCGGTTAATATTTTCAAAGAAAAGTTCGGTTCGGTTAACGGTTAAAGAAAAAAGTTCGATTAATTTAGTTAATAGTAATTCGGTTTAATCGGTGACCGAATTAACCATTTAAACACCCTATCAAAACATAATCAAACAATATCCCACATGTCACTTGTAATTAGCTAATTATTTAATGGTTAATATTTCTTTACGTTTTGGTTTACATGATGTGTGCCCCTAATTTTGTTTATCCGTACAAAATAAATCGTGAGTGCTCTCATCACATCATTAATAGCAAATATTCACTGAATCAAGAATTCAAATAAAAAAATTGTTTGTGGCTAATTATTCACAGTTCATTGACTCTATTTATAGAAAAAAAATTCAAACCCTAATTGAAACTAAAATATTTTAGGTTAAATGCGTAATATAAATATTTACATGTAAGCAGTTTAAATATGACAGATTCCATCTTTCCAAATGCATACACAGCAAATACCAAATTGTAATTTAACATGATCAAAATGAATTCATGCCCACACTTTTACATGTGTAAGATGTGATATGTCACACATACCTAAAATTTTAAGAGATCCACACTTAAAAATATCTACTAATAAAAAATATTTTTCCAAAAAATTTACTCTCATTAATTTTCATGATGAGGTTTAAAAAAATCTCTTAATTTTCTCCTTTATTATCTCAATAAATGAATTGTAATTATTTCTTCCTAAAAAATTCTTACTAAAATCATGATTTCTAATAGAAAAATAATATTGTTTATATTTATCCCAATTTCATTTAGTGTTAATTATTTCTTACATAATGTTGATCAAACTATTGTTTCTCTTAATAGGAGATTTAGTGTCATTGTGCTTATTTTTTCTAATGCTATTATTGCATATAGAAATTTATTAACTATTCCTGTGACAGTGGCGACATCTGCAGAAAGAAGCTTTTTTTAAATTGAAATTGTTGAAGACCTATATGAGTTCTACTATGTCACAAGAAAGACTTAATAGGTTAGCATTGATAGCAATTAAGAATGATATTTTAGAGAAAATTAACTATGAAGATTTGGTTGACGATTTTGTTTCTAAGAGTGTTCGAAGGATGACACTTTTTAAATAAAATATCACGATTATAGAGTTTTTTTATTATATTATCTTAGTTTCATATGTTTAATTTTTTTACTTTATAAGAAACACTAGTGATATGATAAATTTTGATATTATATGATATCATTTTATTATAAAATATTTTAGGGGACTCATTTTAAAAAGTAGCACAGGGCCTCCATATCTTTTAGGACGGGGCTGAAGAAAGTGTTTGATTAATATAAATATAAGTAAATTATAAATTTAACATTCAACAATATTTTTATTTTAATCATTAAAATATAAAATTCTTTAAATTAATTATTACATTTTAGATATTAAATTTTGTCATAATTGTTCACAATGTTTGTACAAATAATCATTTTATCCTTATTTTTTTGGAGCATTTTAGTCCTCAATATCTCAAATTTTGATCAAAATAACCTTTATTGGATGAAAATTGTTAATTGACTAACGCTCAATACATATTACTGATGTGATATATGTTCAATCATTGATGTGGCATACAGAGTCGTGTCGGACATTTTTGGGGCCCTAAACGACTAAGATAAAATTTAAAAATAAGACTCATATAACGAAAGCATATTCCATTAACTCAAATAATTAATTTAATATTTTATTAATAAACCATAGAAAATAATTAAAAAATTTCAAATACATTATTTTCATTATTTTGTTAAAAATACAACTAAAATAATAAGGGACATTTTGCAGTCACTAACTTACAAGATTATCACTTGAAAAATCTCTTCCTTCGAGCATTCTTTGAAGCAAATTTATCAATCAAATCCTCATAACCAACTTTATCCAAAATCTCATTCTCGATTACCACCAAAGCTAGTATGTTAAGCCTTTCCTGTGACATAAAACTACGCAAGTATTGTTTGAGTAATTTTAACTTTGAAAAGCTTTTTCGATCGTTGGAACTTGACAAGAATGGTTAATGTTGTAATATAGGAACGATTATCGACAAAAAAATAAACATGATCAAAAAACAAAAAAACCAAGATTTACGTGGAAAACCCAAAAGGGAAAAACCATGGGAAGAGGAGAAGAATTTCACTAATATGAAGGAATAAGATACAAGAGGATTTTGGATAAAGAAAAAATGATATCTAACCCTTACCCTTAGTATCTATTTATACTGATAGATACTTGATTACAAATGAAACTAAATAAAGTAGAAATCTACTTTAATAAAGTTCTCTATAATGCCCCGAATTCTGGGTTAGCAGATTCGGGTTGACCTGAGATAGGCTAGATAATCCCAATTTCCTTATAGGAGAACTTGGTCCAATTAGATGTTTAGTTGGGTTTGGGTCCCATTGGGTATTAAAAAGGGACATTTTTAATCATGGGATAGAAAAGGGAGGACTAAAAGAGCAATTTCACGCTTATTTGAAACAAAAGTTTATCATCCATTAACTTGGGTGATCTTACGTTGGTATACCCCTATAGTATTCTCCAACTTTTTATCATATCTCCCCATTCATCCTTCATTTTCTCTTCAAGAGTTACTCAAAATATCAAAACTTGGGGGGTGCTACAAGCTTAGTACGTGTTTGCAAAAGTAAGAGTATTCATCCCCACCTTTCAAGCTTTTATTCAAGCCATTAGGATCAAGTTTTGGCCATAGAAACCAAAAATGAGTTTAGTGGGGGTTTAAGAGACCAATTGTTTCTAGTTCATTTTTAGTGGATTTAAGTTTTAGGATGTGTCCTTAACTTCAATCCAAGCTCCTAGATGAGATAGTAACTCATGTACTTACCTATAATTAATGAAATAAGTGGTGATTTGAGGACATTCTCAGCAACTAGGAGAATAAGTTAACAGATTCACAACTTTATCATACCACTTGTGAGTCATGAGAATGCGTCTAGCTAGATAGTCTTATGTTCAAAAGCATAAATTGGTGTTTTTAGCATGTTTAAAGACCTATTATGATCTTTTATTTCCTACATAAAACTTCATAAAGATATTTAGAACCTCAATAGGGCTTTAGGGTAGTTTTAGGAGTCAAATTCATGCCCAAATAAGGTAGGTTTAGGTATCGCTATTGGAATAACAATACCGATATTGTTATTACGAAGGATAAAATAAGGGGATTTTGGGTTAGAAGTATCAATTCTCATTTATTGAGTATCGATATTGTGGGTCTGGTTTCGATACTCAATGAGGGGTATCGAGACTAGGATTCCAATATCTAATTTTTGGTATCGATACTAATGGGAGTATCGATACCGAGGGTAGTGTATCGATATTTTTCAAAACATCGTAGCAAAATTTGGCATCGATACCCAGAGAGTATCGATACCCTGAGTGTATCGATACCCTGAGAGTATCGATACCCTAACACAAGATTATCGACATTATTCCAGCAGTATTGATAGTGCCTTTCTATTTCATTTTTTAATTTGTAATTTAGTATCGATACCCAAGGGCGAGCATCGATACTCATGGGTCGGTACCGATACCAATGGGCTCAGTATCGGTACCCACGTATATTTTTGGATAAGAAGTCTAAGGGAATAAAAAGTAATATTAAGGGAATCGAAAACACACGATTGCTTTAAGATAAATTTACAAGAGAGAAACATGATAATAATCAATTACAGTTAGAAAACAGATAATTTAGGATGGCATAAAACTAGTATTGGTTGATGCTCAGAAAACAATCAGGACAGTCGATTTACTTTAGTAGATGATGATGGATTTGGGAAATTAAATTTTCGGATATCCTTAGGTAGTGCGCAAGGCACCTTAATGACTAACTAGGTCGTGAGGCCCAAACATTCGTGGTTGGTAGGTTAGTCGGTGTTGAGTCTAATGTAGATGTTCCTAACCTCACCCTAGGAAGACTAGAGGGGTGTGTGTCCCGAGATGTGTAATCCTCCGACCATACCATGATGTCTACTCTAGAGTAGTGTATAATATACAAGTATACTCACTTTTATTATTGCCTCAATTGCATGAGCATTTAATGAACACTTTTAGTATGATTTAGTTGTTATTGTGACATTGGGCTAGTGAGCTCAGCGTTAGTAATTTGTTTCTGTGCGCATGTATTTAAGAAGAGTATTCGAGGATCCTATCGCACAATAGGCATCCCATACTAATCGAGCAGCAGAGTTTGTCTTGAGTTTTTTTCTTTAGAGGACATGTATTATTCATAGACCTTCTTGTACTTGAGTCATAACTTTATTTTAAATACCCAGTTGTATTATTTAAATATACTTATTTTGGGAGATTCCCTATGTAAATTCTATATATTTATGTTTGGTTTACCTTACTTTGAATGGTTTCAAATTTATGATTTATAAAATATTTTAAAAAAATTAGGTTAACCACTCTGGTGGTTCAGTGTGACATTCAAATCTGTCGACTTTGTGTCGTATCGAATTAGGATGTCTCATTCTCTACTTTTAATCAAATTAGGTTTCTTACTTTCGTAAATTTATATATTAATTAATTTCTGCCACTTTGGATTTGAGTCAAACTCTAAGAAATCTCCACCTTGTCACGAATTTTGAAAGTGCAAAGGTTTCAAGACAAAATACTCAAATTTGATAAGGCACTCAAACTCAACAAAAGCAAATCTTTACTTCAACTAACAAGTTCTCCTCCTCTTCCACTACACCCCTCAAAGGGATAATCTTAAGTAATGGACACCATTCGAATCCAAATTTTTTCTAAGCTTGGATTTAGTCTTCACATCGACATGTTTATCATAAGTGTCAACTTTGCTCACAAATGTATCACCGAGAGTAATATCATGCACCACATGATCATCATAATCAATGATAATTCTATCTTCAAATTCATTATGACTATGAAATTTAATTATTTTATGCTTCACATAATTATTCTGCCTACAGTTATCTTATTTAACATAAAATGTCATTGTGCTTAATTTAGTCAAAATATTTTTACCAATAAAAACATTATTTGACACGAGGAATGAAACATCAGTTGCATTATCTAAAATTGTTGAACCTTGTAGAACATAAAACTTGTTGGTCTTTCTCTGTCCTTTCATCAGAAGTGAACCCCACCTTCATTAGAGAATTTGTACCTTTTAATCTAGAGTACCTAATGAAATTAAATTTTTACTCAAATCAGGAACATGTCTCACACTGACAAGTGTTTGAACAATCCAATCGAACATCTTAATCTTGATTGTGTTAATATCAACGACTCTACGAGGGACATTATTTCCCAAAAATACATCACATGTAGATACAACTTTATCCGTTCCAAACCAGTTACAATTGGGACTCATATGAAAATTGCTAAGAGTGTCAAGTATAGACTCATCACCTGTTATAGAGTTGTTATTAGCCATAACTAGGAGTTCTCCATCATCGTACTCATCCGCTACATTAGCCTAACCATATTTTTTAGAATTTTTCTCTCCATATTCTCTTTTGATTTTATTTTTTAATTTGCAACAGCCTGCTTTAACATGACCTTTCTTTTTAAAAAAGTGGCAAGCTTTTCCTCGATTGAAAGATTTTGATCTACTCCTTTTTATACTATCAGAAAAACGCTCACCTTTTCTTCCATAATCTAAGCTAGTCGATCCATGCACCATGAGACATTTTTCTTAGGGCTCAAAACCAAATACAAGATATTTCATCTTATTAAATGAGTACATGTCACTATACACTTCTTCAATAGTGAATTTTTTGCAACTGTATTGGATTGTGTTTCTAAAAGATGAGTAGGAAGGAGGTAACAAACACAAGAGGATAGATCCTAAGTCTTCTTGGTCATACTTTACTTCTAAAGTCTATAGATCATAGACATTTTCCTTGAATATGATTAGGTGATCTTTAAGAAATGAACCTTCCACCAACTTGAGCGAATAAAGACATTGCTTAAAGTGTAACTTGCTAGTCAATGATTTCTGCATGCATGGTTGCTTTAATTTTGCCCACAAAGAAGTAGTTGTTTTTTCTTTCAACACATTCTGAAAAATTTGATTTGATAAGTGTAAACGAATATGAGATAGGACCTTAGGATCCTTACGTTTTTCTTCATTCATCCAATCTGACGATATCTTATAATCAAACTCTTAAAATATACAATCTAAGTCCAATTATGGAAGGACATACCGAATCTTCACATGCCACAGTGAGAACCTGATATTTAGATCTAACAACAGAATATCATACTTCATTGTTGCTATAATATTGAACTCGAAGCTCTGATACCAATTTGTAATTACATCGAAACAATTTTTGACAAACAAATAAACATGGTCGATAAACAAAAAACCAAAATTTAAGTGAAAAATTCAAAAGGGAAAAACTATGGGCAAAGGATAAGAATTTCACTAATATGGAGGAAGAAGATACAATAGGATTTTGGAGAAAGAAAAACTCAATATCTAACCCTTACCTTTAGTATCTATTTATATGACAAGTCATTTCTCATGCTTAAACATTTGGTAAATCAAAATGTAAGCTTATGGGAGTTAAAGGGATCATAACAGGTCATTTCTCATACTTTACCAACATAAAATACATCCAAAACCATTTTTAAGTAAAATGTACTTACATGATTTATGCACTCATACAAGCAAGTAAAAACACATGTAATAACCTACAAGTGGTATAAATAAGTTAAAAGTGTGTTACCTTACTCTTAGCCGCTGAAACCTAAAGCTCACCCAAGCACAAGCTTCTTATTGCCCTTGCCCTTGGAGCTTTCTTCCATTTCTTTCACTAGATACAAACAAAGAATGAGTTACAAACTCATCTAAGTCATGAAAAGAAGTAGAAATGGTGTTACCAACTCTATTGTCCTATGGCCCTAAAACCCAAAGGCCCTCTAAACCCTATCTTGACCACCATGATCAAACCTTATGATGGAGGGCTTGAATGAAAGCTTTAGGGGTGAAGATTACTCTTATTACCATCTCAAATTTAGATTATGGATGGAAAATAACCAAGTTATCACCTTTGATGTTTTGAGACTAAAGATAAATGAGTAAGGGACGAGAAGAAAAATACAAGGTGGAGGGGAAATGAAGAGAGGAAAATAAGCTTTCTCTTCTCGTTACATCATCAAAATTTATGGGTTTCAGCCTTTCAAATGTTGGAGGGTTTAATTACTCACATAGTCCCTTTACCTTTGGTCCCAAGTTAAAAATGCCCCATTTTGAATATCATTTGGGTTCAATCCAAGCCCAATCAAATTCAAACTCAACCCAACTCTTCATGATAGCTTATTATATTCATCTATAGCTCACTCGGGTCAATCCGAAACTAGGCCTGTAAATGAACTGAACGTTCAGCGAACCGTTCAAGAACCGTGCGGCGGGAAGTTCGTTTATGTTCGTTTATTTATTAAATGAATGAACATGAACAAATTTTTGCGTTCGTTTAATTAAATGAACGAACATGAACAAATGACTTGTTCATTCATTTACGTTTGTGAACGTTCGATTATATGTTCGTTTATGTTCATTCATGTATGTTCATTCATTTATGTTTGAATAGAGGGCAAGTTGAATATGTTACGAAGATTATTGAAGTTGTTTGGATTTCAAGAAGATTGTTTTGTTGAACAAATTAACTTTAAGACTTTATTATGTTCATATAGTTTATTTATGATTTATGTATGTTTTTGTCGTATTCAGACAAATTAACTCTAAAATTGCAGGTTATGTTAATGTATTTTAAGTTGTTATTCTTGTTGTTTACTTTTTTTTTACATTCGTTTGTGGTGTTCGAATAAGTTTTTTTGTGTTCGTTTATGTTCGTTCCTTCATGTTTGTTTATGTTCATTTATTTATTTAAATGAATGAACATGAACAAGCTATATTACTTAATGAACGAACATGAACAAAAAAATTTTTGTTCATTTATGTTCATGTTCGTTTATTTATTAAATGAACAAACATGAACATACCTCCGTTCGTGTGCGTTCGGTTCGTTTACAGGCCTATCCGAAACCATTAACCCAAAATTCCAGGCATTACTTCTATGGTTGGTCATAATAAAAAATATGTTTTTCTCAAATTAAAGGGTAAAACTAAAAAATAGAGCGTAAAGTTACAATGCTTAACTTCTCTCACTCAAGGTAAAGAGGTTTTCATCAAATTTGTATTTTGATCTATCCCTCTACATGTGATGTCATGATTTCTCATACCCATAAGTTTCTATAAGGATCTTGAAGCTATTGCAATAGGTTATTGGTGGTCGTAGACACCCGTTTTTGTTCGGGTATACAAAAATACTATTTTTTTAATATTATTAGTGTTATTATTAATTATCTTATTTATATTTTTTGTAGATTACACATTTGGCCCAAATAGAGCCAAACCATTACAATCACCCAAAACAACACTCAGCTATCACCCTAAATCCTGTAGACCCAGTTGACCCGATACAAGCCCAAATCCGAAGCCCAAGTGGAGACCTAATAGTCCACTCAATAACCAAGCCTAAAAGGAGACCAAGTTACCCGGATTTGACCCGAGGCCTTGCTCAACCCGACCCGACTACTAGGGTTTTTGAAACCCTAACCCTAGGGACATGACACCACCACTGTCTTCTGTTGCTCCTACCACCGATGAGATTTCTAACGCCGCTTCACCTATAGTGACACCTACAGTGACTGAATCAGTTAGTAATCTATCAACAATCCAAATAAAAAGGAAAACAAATCTAAACAAGTTAGAAAGAAATCTCGAGGTGATTATCACCATTATATCACATACAAGAGAAGAGATCAAAGGGGCCATTCGGGGGGAAATAGAGAGGGAACCGAGGGAAAAACCAAAGAAGAAACTTCAAATATATTCGGAAAAAAAGAGATCAAAGAAAAACATTCAAAGTAAATATAAAAAAAAGAAAAAGAAAATTTCATTGTGGGGAAATCTACGAAGACACCTCCCAACTACAAGGGAATGTGTCTTTACGAGGATTTTTCGCATAAATGTTTGTGTTGTATTCAATAATTTTCTTTGTTCCACGTTTATTTATTTCAATTATTTTTCACCTCTTTTCATTTTTATCTTGTTTCATTTTAGGTT